ACCTCCCTTGCCAATTTATTCCAATATTTGACCACCCTGACAGTTGGGAATTTTTTCCTAATGTCCAATCTAAACCTCCCCTGCTGCACTTTAAGCCCATTACTCCTTGTCGTGTCCTCAGAAACCAAGAGGAACAAATTTTCTCCTTCCTCCTTGTGACACCCTTTTAGATATTTGAAAACCGCTATCATGTCCCCCCTTAATCTTCTTTTTTCCAAACTAAACAAGCCCAGTTCATGAAGCCTGGCTTCATAGGTCATGTTCTCTAGACCTTTAATCATTCTTGTCGCTCTTCTCTGTACCCTTTCCAATTTCTCCACATCTTTCTTGAAATGTGGCGCCCAGAACTGGACACAGTACTCCAGCTGAGGCCTAACTAGTGCAGAGTAGAGCGGCAGAATGACTTCCCGAGTTTTGCTTACAACACACTTGTTGATACATGGCGTTATTCCTCATGAAGGTTGATAGAAGTGGGACTAAGCCGTCCATCCATTTGAATTTATTTCGAAATAACGGAATTGCTGTGTAGATGCCCACATTGTCCTTTTGGAAAAATGGCCACTCTTCTGAAATAGCAGTGCTGTGTAGACGCACATTAGATTTGCACGAGGTAAGCATTTTTTTATTCATTTTCCCACCCTTATCCGAATCTGTCCTCTGGAATTTGCAGAACAAGGGGAAGGACACATACATTCCAAACTCCAGTCTCACTTGGGTTAACTTTCCTGTTTGCAAAACTTAGGTTAACTTTCCGGTTGTTTCCCCTGGAGAGAAAATCCAGGAAATAGCAGAAAACCGATTAACTCTAACTCAGTGACAGCATCTTCTTGTGTCATGAAAGTGCTCAAAATAAACTATATTTCAAAGTCCCTCAGAAGCGTCTGCACTATCCACTGGTCCAGACTAGTGTTTCTCAACCAGTGGTATGAGTACCGTTAGGGGTACTCAAGATAAGTCAACACCATTGAAATTTGGAGAAAATTGAATTTTGGTTTTAAGTTTTACAGCACTTTATTATTTCTATACTTTTTACACCCCAAAATGTCATCGCCTGCCCGGCTAGGATTAAGTTGTTCAAAGAAATGTGTTGCAATGGTAGAAAACTATTTGTGTGTCTGAAAACTGTACTGAGGTACTTTTAGGTTTTTTTTTAGTTTGTTCAAGGACTCCCCCGAAACGGTAAGCGCTCGGGCCACCGAATTTGGTAGGCAGCTTTCTTGTCTCCTAGCTTAGAGTAAGGCCAGGTGAAGGACAATGGGATGTGTTGAGGGAGGAGGATGTGGTTCTCGATTTTACATTTGATTAATGTAAAGCAGAATTGTTAGCGGGGTACGTTCCCCTTCTGAATCAACGCCTGGTGTCTGCAGGAAATGAACATGCAGTGGGCGATGAACTTTTACTCACCCGAATTTGAGTGCACATGGCCCCCTGCAGTGCACACGGCCTAGCGAGGATGGTGAGGAAGGCCTACGGACCCAGAAGCGGCACATGGCCTGTGACGTCGTTGACCCAACGAAGAGAGAGAGAACCCGGAAGGGGAATCCCAAACAGGACCTCCCGGGGGTGCCCTCGGCTCGGATCGCCTGGTCCGTGAACAGTTCTGGGGTCATCACGGGAAGAGACCAACAGCACGAACCTCAGCGCCCCACCTGGATGTCGTCGGCCTGTAAGTGCGAGGGCGGATAGTGAGCGAGTCTCTCCTTTCCCCTCTTCCCAGAGTAGATTCACGCAATTAAAGCCACTGGCGTGAATTGCCTCGTGGTCCCGATCCTTGTGAGGCCAAGGCGAGTGGTGGCTTGCTCTTGTCCGAGCTTAGAGCAGGGCTAGAGTTTGGTTGCACCAGGACAATGGGCTGTACCCAAGAATGGGATTGTTTTCCATCCCCTGGGATGAGAGGGGTGTGATAGCAGGGACAGTTTTGCTCCACAATGACCACCAGGGGGCAGCAAGTTCAGGGGATACTTACATGACCACGGGGTGTGTGCAGGGTGGGAGGTTGCCCATGTAACACAGTGGCCAGCGGGGGCCAGGCCCCCCTTGCCCCAAACCCAGACCACCCCCTCCCCCAGCCATTAGCCACAGCACCGGACCTTGGGGCAGCTCCACCAGCCAGGGACTCTGCCGTCGTGATGCCCTTGGGGAGCAGTTACCAGACAGGACCTGGCACACAGCCTCTGTCAACACATCCACCCCCCCGGACACCTACCGCCACTTGGGCAGTGCAGCCCAGGTTGGCCTCAGAGCTTCCCTGAGCCCCCCACTCCTGTCCTGACCCTCACCCCCATTCCCGCTACTTCCCAACCCTGTTCCTTGATGGCTACACCTCCATCTCTTACCCCCAACCTCCTTTCTCCCTCCCCCCGGTCCTTCCCAGCATGGGGGAGTTGCTGTGTATGTGTGTGTGTGTGTGTGTGTTGGGGGGGGGGGGTTTCTCCTGCCTCCCACTGTTTCTCCTGCCTCCCACCCCCCTTTCCCTGGTCTGCTGGCAAGGCAAGATGGTGACCAGTAGCCCCATCGGGCCACGCCCTTGGTGCTTGGCTTGCTACCCCTACTGGTGATGATGAGGTTTGTCTCCTTCCTTTCTCTGGCCCCTCCCTCACCGTGTTCTGGAAAACAGCCCCATTCCCAGCACTCCCCATTGTCCTGGCACGACCAGACCCTGACCTGGCCTTACTGGAAGAAGAGGCAGCCGCAGTCCCAAATGAGGTAGTGCTAGCTCTGCCCACCGAAGAGGATTTCTTGAGCAAACAGACTTACAGACAGACAGACAGCTCTGAAATCCATCGCTAGCTCTTGCATTTCTCCTGCGGCTGCCTTCAGTCCACCCCTCCACCCACAAGGTCCTTTGGCTAAGGTGGTCTCGGTCTTTTAAGACACGTTGCTTTCTGGTTGCTTTAAGGCAGCGCTGCTCAACGTCGGAAGCCCCGGGGGCCACAGTGATACCCACAGCACATGCCGAGGGCCACAACGTAAGTGTGGTTGCATGTCCATGCAAATCTACATGCAAATCTATGCAAATAGCGTCTTTCACACCGAGGGGCATGAATGCAAAGATTAAGGCAAGACGACACAACACGCAGGCCCCATTGAAGTCAGTTCTGCTGACATTATTAAATTGCAACAGGGTTCTGCTGATATTATTAAAATGCAACAGGTACCCAATTTCCACCCATATGACAACACTTAGGTGTGTCTAGACTACAGGGTTTTTTCGAAAAACGTAGTCTTGTTTTGAAAAAACTTCCCCTGCATCTAAACTGCTGCCGTGTTCTTTCGAAAGAAGGCGGCAGTTATTTCGACCGTGGAAAACTTCATTTTACGAGGAAGTGCACCGTATTTCGAAAGTGCTCTTTCGAAAAAAGGCGTTCTTGAATGCAAACAGGGCATTTTCGAAAGAGAGCATCCAGACTGCCTGGGTGCTTTCTTTCGAAAAAGCGGCTCGCTTTTTCGAAAGTACTGGTTGTAGTCTGGATGCTCTTTTTCGAAAGGGGCTTTCTCAGAAGTATCTTTCGAAAAGAGTCTTTTGAAAGAGGCTTGCAGTCTGAACATAGCCTTTGAATGAGCAATGACAGTCCAGGAATTTAACTACTAAAATGCATCTCGACAGACAACCGTTCTATTGACTACTTTTTTTTTGGCTTTCATCGGCCAGCCACAAACAATCAGGCCACAGGCCGTATGTGGCCCACGGGCCGTGTGTTAAGTAGCTCTGCTTTAAGATGATTTTCAGAAACCTCCCATTTTTATATCCATAAGGGAACAATCTTTTTAGGGCAGTAAAAACAATTCCCCCCCCAAGCTGTTAGAGGTGGGCTGTAGCGAAGAATTAAACTCCAATTCCTCACCCGCTAGTTGAAGTGTGTGAAACCCGACTGTTTGGAGACTGGAAGCCAAAACACAAAACCATCGTTGTTTATCCAAGAGGATTTTCCGGTGGAAAAGCTGAGAAACTCTATTTCAGGAAAGACCTATTGTCGATTTCATTCTCACTCCCCGTTCAGAAGCATGGATAAATCTGGAACAGACTCCGGCTCACGCCTTCCCTCTGCCCTGCGAGCCAGGAACAGTCACCTCGCTGGGGGAAATGAAAATCAGCACCTATATCTTTAAACTACGGAAAGAACATTTTACGATTTGGACCGTGTTGTTCTATTCACTCGTTTTGATGGCGTTTGAAAAGATCCTGGATTCTGCCTTTAAGTGCCTAGGAGACCAGTGGCTGAGATTTGCTTATAGTCTCTCCTATTTCCTTGTGCCAGCTGTGATTGGGGGTTTTTTAGGCATAATTTCGCAGCCAGAGTGTCTCAGTCGTGGTAAAAGATGTGACTGGAGCATTATTGCAAAGGCTGTTTTACCGTCTCTTTTGCGAAATGTGATCCTCCTTCTGGCTGGAAGATACGTTGTGTGCTTGTGTAGCCCAGGGAAATACAACACATCACAATTCACATGTGGATTAAGTAAACTGAAAAGCATGCACAGGTAATCGTCTGCCTATAAAGGGGAACAATCTCTCCCCTAGATCTGCTGGCAATGCTCCTCCTAATGCACCCTAATATGCCATTAGCCTTCTTGGCTACAAGGGTGCTCTGTTGGCTCATATCCAGCTTCTCATCCACTGAATCCCCAGGGCCTTTTCTGCCAAACTGCTGTTTAGACCTCAGCCTGTAACAATGTTAGGGATTCTTCCGTCCCAAGTGCAGGACTCTGCACTTATCCTTGTTGAAACTCATCAGATTTCTTTTGGCCCAATCCTCTAATCTGTCTAGATCACTCTGGACCCTCTCTGTGCCCTCCAGTGGGTCTACCTCTCCCCCTAGTTTAGTGTCATCTGTGAATTTGCTGGAGGTGCAACCCATCCCCTCATCTGGGTCATTCATAATAATGTCGAACAAAACCAGCCCTGGAATTGATCCTTGAGACACCCCACTTGAAACTGACCACCAGCCAGACATGCTACCTGTAGGGGTGTGTATTTGACACCTGGAAAGGAACGATCCTTTTAAGGCAGAGAAAATGATTTCCCCTGCAAAGTTAGAACCGAGTGCTGTGAAGAACTAGACTCAGATTTCTGACCCACTGGTTCTCTTGAAACCTGACAACTTTGTGAATCGGAGGTCTGTGCACACACCCATCCACAGCCGGGCCTTTTAAGGTGCTAACAGAGCGGCAGAGCTGATTACGGGTTACGGTGGAGAGCTTTGAGTTTCACTTTCCTTCTCACTCGTGGGCTGCAACGATTCGTAGATCTGACTGCATTTAGTCTGGAGAGCTGACAGTGAACGGTGAGCAGGCGACAGTCTCAGCCACGATCAGCATGGGGATTAGCGGCAAGTTCCTAAAACTATGGCGAAACCACTTCACAGTCATATCGACGTCAGTGTACTCCCTCGTTTTGGTGGTGCTGGAACACTCAATAGATCCGAATTTCAAATGCCCAGAAGACAAGATGCAGACACTTAGTTACAGTCTTTGCTATATCCTCCTGCCACCCGCTGCTTTGTTTCTATTAGGCCTGGCTGTCCAGCTTCCTTTGAAATGGGAAGACTCACTTAGCTATGAATGCTACAGGTGTTGCGAATTGTTGAACCGTCGTTTAACCATCACAGAACCTTGCCTCAAAATCTGTGAAAGAGTCTGCAGCATTATTTTCAAAGCTTTGGTACCCGCTGTCTTGTGGATAATTATCGTGCTTCTGGATGGGAAATACATTGACTGTCTGTGTAAATCACCCCAGGCGAACTGCCCTACAGCGAGGAGTCCTTATCACGTTTCCCAGGTAAGACCCTGTCACGTTCCTGAATTGGAGGGAAGCAGCCGGATCGCTGCTGCACCCCTAGGTGGGGGGGTTGGCCCAAGAAATTGGTGCGGGGGGAGCCATGTGGGGTATTGAATGGGAGCTTATTGTTTGTTGATCTTATGTACGCTATTTATGTGAGTATATAATGTCTGTGTGTGTAGGTAGGAATCTGTAATCTGTGTGGAAGCTGAATATTTCTGTGAATGTGGTTGAGCATTGCTATGGACAGGCTGAGTAGTGAAGCCCTGTGGAACAATGGCCCTTGATGGCCCAAAGACACACCTAAAGCAGGAGGGCGGAGACCCAAGAGCTGCCAGCAGAGAGAGGCTGAGGACCAGGTGACCGGCTGAGACCAGAGAGGCCAAGAAGGGGATAAAAGAGGCCATGTGGTCGATGCCATTTTGTTCTCAGCTCAGCACTTCATCCCAGAGGCAGCACTGCAGGGATTGAAGAGCCCGGAAGACCTGTGAACCCATCCTGATCGTAGGATGTGCAATAAGAACTTTTAAACCAGCAGCTGCAACATCTCTGCTAGAGCCTGCATCGAGGACTGGGAGATTCGGTGCATGTAACGTACTGTACTTTAATAACCTTACTCTCAGGCTTTTCTTTCTTGTAATAATAAACCTTTAGCTATAGATTCTAAAGGATTGGCCCAGCGTGATTTGTGGGTAAGATCCAGAGGGTAAATTGTCCAGGGATCTGTGGCTGGTTTCTTGGAACCGGACAGAACTTGTTCGGGGTAGGTGGGATTGGGTGCTAGGACCCCCCACCTGTGTATAGGCCCGGGGCCATCTGGGGCACGGATATTGCTGGGGTGTCGGAGGGGTTTTGCTCGTGAGGCTTCAGGCAGGCAGCTGAAGCGCTCTGTGGGACTGGTTTGTGGCCTGTGTGGAGAGGTCACCAGTCGGGGGCTGTAAGTAGCCCCGGATTTGAGCAATTCGCCCTGAGCGGACGCCCTCAGCTGTGCCCAGACACGGCCCAGTCTGTCACAGACCCACCTGCCCCGAGAGAGGGAATAACGTTGCTCTCACTCTTCCCCTTTTTGCTCTGGCCTTTTGCCCTCATGTGTGTTTGACTGAGCAGAAAAAAAAAATAGTTGATGTTCATAAATGAGAGAAAACCAGGATCCGCCACCAGGTGCTACATACATGAGAATATACATTGATGAGGGCTCATTGGAAGGATTGTGTCCAGTTCTGGGCCCCACATTTCAAGAAAGAGGTGGAGAAATTGGAGAGGGTCCAGAGAAGAGTAAGAAAATTGATGCAAGGTCTAGAGAACATGAGCTAGGAGGGAAGGCTGAAGGAATTGGGCTTGTTCAGTTTGGAAAGGAGAAGACTGAGAGGAGACATAAGAGCTGTTTTCAGGTCTCTAAAAGGGGGTCACAGGGAGGAGGGAGAAAACCAGTTCTCCTTGGCCTCTGAGGACAGGACAAGAATCAAGGAATATTTAGGTTGGACATTCGGAAAAAACTTCCTACCTGTCCGGGTGGTGAAACACTGGAATAAATTGCCCAGGGAGGTTGTGGAATCCCCATCTCTGGAGAGATTGAAGAGCAGGTTGAGGATGTTAAAGTCTCGTTGAACTAGCTGATTCCCTCCCTCTGTGGGAGGGGAGAAGGGCGTACGTCAAAGGGCAGCAAAGGGGTTGTGGGCTGCAGGGTTAGGGCTCAGGGTGGGGGTGAAGCTGTGAGGTCGGGAGCTGGGAAGGTTGGGGGACTCAAGGAAGAGGGTGCTGGATTGAGGGCAGAGAGCTCAGTGTGGGGGTCCCAGGACAGGAGGTGAGGGGCTGAGGAGGAAGAGCTTGGTGCGGGGAGGGGGCTCAGGGGAAGGAGTGGGGAGCTGGGGGCAGAGAGGATGGGGGGGTCAGAGCAGGGGGTGGGAACTGGGGAAAGAGATCTCAGTGGTGAGGCTCAGGCTCGGGAGGAGGAATAAGGAAGAAGAGCTCATGGGCAGGCTCAGGGAAGGAGGTGGGAGACTGAGGAGGGAGAGCATGGTGTGGGGGGGCTCAGAACAGGGGCTGGGGTCTGGGGGCAGAGAACTGGTGGGGGGGTTTCAGGGCAGGGAATGGGGGGCTGTGTGCAGAGAGCTCAGTGTGTGCGGGGGAGGGGGCCTGGATGGTCATTGGGGTGTGAAGGAGAATCGCTCGGGGGCGAGAGGCACCAGGGCGGGAAAGAGAAAAAGTCGAATGCGACTGACCCGTTTTAACGTCTTGATTTTATCCCTGCAGGTGGCTGGGCTTGGAGTCATAGGGAGCATTGCCCTTCTCGGGTTCCTATACTGTTGTTTTAGGAACTGTTGGAGGAAAAGGGTCACCATGAATGTGTTCCAAAGCAGGGAGAGACTCCGGGTGCAGGCCGCCGACTATCTGAACGAACAGCAGAACGAGGTGATCCGGAAATTAATTGAGAAACACCTGAACAAGCGCTACATAGCCGCACCGGCAACATTCGTGACAGGCCTTAGAGATGTGGATGTATCTTTTGAGATAAGACGAGCTTTAAATGTTTTATGGGAAAAACAAAACCCTTCTGACAGAGCCCAGAGTAGAGAGCACGGAGCCGGCGGAGCCCAGAGTAGAGAGCATGGAGCCGGCGGAGCCCAGAGTGGAGAGCACGGAGCCGGCGGAGCCCAGAGTGGAGAGCACGGAGCCGGCGGAGCCCAGAGTGGAGAGCACGGAGCCGGCGGAGCCCAGAGTGGAGAGCACGGAGCCGGCGGAGCCCAGAGTGGAGAGCACGGAGCCGGCGGAGCCCAGGGCGGAGCCCAGAGCGCACCCTCCAGCCCTTCACTTCAAGAGGCCTCTTCCTCAAGGGGCCACCCGTATTTAGACTCTGGAGAGACCCAAAATGTGCCGTCGTCTGAGAGCGAGAGAACACCACTGGAAGTCTGGACGTCTGTTCCTGCATCGGCGATAAGTCAAGAAACAAGTCTCACACAGACACGGCCCCCTACGAAAAGCACAAAGAAGCAAAGTAGAAAAGACAAATGGACATGCCCAGAAGCCAACCCCCAGGAATCCATCCCCCTCTTCCCTCCTAAGGTTCCTCCTTCCCAAACCAGGCCAGGGGGACTTTAGCGGGTTCCTCTCCCCTGTTGGAGAGGGGGAAGCAGGTCTAAGGACTTTTTTCCTCTCTTCTCTGCCCCTTCTCAGGATCATGCTCCAGATCATGCATCAGATCCCCAACCCCACTATGCCCCTCCTGGATGGGATTCCTGCGGTGTGTGAATCTTTGAGAGGCAGGGTTCCCGCCCACTCCCCACCACACAAGGAGAACTAAGGGCTCTGTGATCTCTACTCCAGTTCTCCATCAGAGATGTCCAAGCCTTCACCTCAAGCATTCTCCACTTCTCCACCTCCAGGGGTCTCAAAACCATCACCTCAGAGGGTCCCCAACCCTTTGCTGCAAGCATTCTCCGATTCTCCACCTCTAGGAGGTCTCAAAACCATCACCTCTAAGGGTCTCCAACCCTTCACCTCAAGCATTCTCTGATTCTCCACCTCCAGGGGTCTCAAAACCGTCACCTCAAAGGTCCCCAACCCTTCGCCTCAAGCATTGGCAAAACGTTACCCTCAGGAGTTCTCCAACCTTTCACTTGAAAAGTTCTCGAATTCTCCACCCTCACTTTCCCCTTGTTCTTCCTCACAAAAGTTATCCACTGCTTCCCCTCAAGGAACTACCAATGTCTGATTTCTAGGGTACGTCTATACTGCGGGCTAAGGCCAAATTAAGCTACGCAACATCAGCAACAGTAATTGTGCAGCTAAAGTCAAAATAGGTTAGGTTGGCTTTTGATGCTTTCTGCACAGCAGGAAGTCACAGGAGGAACACGCTTCCTTTGACCTCGCTTACTCTTCATGGAATGAGGGTCACCGGCATCGACCGGAGCGCCCCTCTCACTTCCAATTAGCTGTCTTAGGTCAAGTGCTAATTTGAACCGGGGAAGAGCGAAAGTCCACCTTCGGTCTACCTCTGTCGTGTAGACATCCCCTAAGAGTTGTGTATTCTCCAGGGGGAATATTACAACACGACTTGCGAGTCACTTTCTTCTCTCCATTAGGCACAGATGCCTGGAGTTCCAGAGGGTATGTCTACACTACAGCACTATTTCGAATTAAGCTAATTCGAAATAACACATCTATACACAAAAACTAATTTGAAATAGTGTTTTTCTATTTTGAAATAGCGCGTCCACACTGAGTGAACCCTGAATCAAGGTTAACGCTGGCCAGAACCAGTGCCGGCAGGGCATCAGGTTAGGACTTAGTGTGTGGGGCTGCTGCCTGAGGCTAACTGAGCTCTGTGCTTAAAGGGACCCGACCCCCCACCCCGGACAGACAGTTTTCAGGGTTCCCCGCTTGCTTGTCTACCTCGATGAGGGACAGCAAAGCAGTCCTGTCTTGGAGTACCCTGAGCGCCCGCACTCGGGACACCACAGCACTCGGCCACATGGAGCCAGAGCTGCCCCTGGGCACTGTCATGGCTCCTTTCCCACTCTGGCGTGGGGCTTTGCTAGAGTCTGCCTGGGAATGTGTGTACCTCTCAGGAAAGCGTTATAAAACAGCCGAAAGGTGCTGCCTGAACGGACAGTCCCACTTGTGGGTCTAGGCTGTGGGGATGTCCAAGAATTCCCACGCTGGAGCAGCGCCCGTTACAGCCCTCGAGAGCACAGACGGTAAGGCCTGGGATTGTCGGTAGCAGAAGGGGCGTAAGCGTTGGATCCTGCTGGCTCGCTTGCTTGCTTAGGTGCCTGCTTGTCCGCGGCAAGAAGCACATATTTAGTAACCCATGAAGGCTGTAAGGTGTAATATGCTCTGGCAATAAAACCTCTTATTTTTATGCACCTAGTGTGGCTTCACTGAGTGTATCCGTGCCCCCTGAGAGAGCAACACCCCCCACTGAAGCTACGACTAGCTGCACAAACACCCATCTTGGATCTTTAGTGTTCTTAGATAAATTCAGCCTTCAGCTTGTGGCCAAGGCAGTGGGCGAGTTTCCTGTTCAGGCTGGTGAGAGATCTCAGAAACGGGTGTTAAGACAGATCATCTTTGTCTTTGGAAAGTCAGCAGCTTCCTGTTATGCTTATCAAGATATGGTCCAATGCTCTTCCCCTTACACAGAGATGACCTGAGGAATATGCATGTGTCTATAGGATGAGTGAGGACGTGGGAGTGAGAAACATCCAATCCCGGCAGCCCAGCTCTTTGTGATGTTTTCTGGCAAGGCCGAACTCTGCAGGTGTCAAAACGCCCTTCAGCTCTGTGCCAGTTCACCCTTGGTCAGAATTCATTCCCGCCTTGCTCCGGGGGGTGATGCAAGCCCAATATTAAAAAATGCACTGGCTGTGGGGCAGGCACCAAGAGGCAGTGTGACCTAATGGAGAGAGCACAGGGATGCCAGAAAGTTCTAAACCCAGCTCTGCTGCTGGTCAGCTGGATGACTTGGGGCAAGCTTGTGCATCCCTGCGTGCCTCAGTTTCCCCATGCGCACACTGGGGAAAATGTTAATGGCCGGCTATACAAAGTGCTTTCAGATCTATAGAAAGCACTAGTCAAGTGGTAGGCAGTATGATTATTATGATCCTGAAGGGCATAAGACCATCCAGACGGGGTCAGACCAAAGGTCCATCCAACCCAGTGTCCTGTCTGTCAACAGTGACCAATGCCAGGTGCCCCAGAGGGAGGGAACAGAATAAGGAATCATCACATAATCCATCCTCTATTGCCCATTCCTGGCTTCTGACAAAGGTACTATCCCTTCTTCCTCCTCTACAGGAGGTGTCAATACAACCCCTTCAGTTTCGGCCTCTGCTGCAGAAATACCCATTACAGAAGGATCAACATCTCTTTCCCCTCACTGGAAGACCCCAGAGGATTATGGGGCAGATCTACACCCTCTTCGGCGTCTTCTCCTCCAGGAAAGAATGGCAGAGCATCAGGGTTTAAGGATGGTGTGCTAGCTGCACTGTTGGGTTGACTCGACTCAAGTGACATTACCACAGACCCAGGAGACATATGTACGGGTTCAAGATGCATAGATTTATAGTCAGGGTAGACCTCTTCCGGATCAGCTTCTGATGGGGGACCTGTTATATCTATCCTGATGGGTCTTGCACAGAATTTGTGGCATCTGCAGGCTTAGGTGGGGAACCCGAAGACGTCAGGGTTCATCAGATACCGAGCATACCACGCTATCCAGATCATCTAACCAGAGGAAAGATGATCTGGATAGTGTGGTACGCTCGGTATCTGATGAAGCATCCATTCTGACATATTGTCCCAGAGGTAGTAAGTGGTTTCTATGTAAAGTCTTTGATGGGCCACCAATCTTCTCAGGCTTTACTTGGTTTACTGGTAGCCCAGGCATTTGAGTCTCCACAATGTAGGGTTGTGAATTCCATCAGTCTGCAAGTTTGTGTTTCCCAGGAAGACCCAGATTCCAGATAAGAACACGCTCTCCAGGCTGCAGATCATGGTATCTCACTTTCTGATCATATTGCTCTTTGTTGCCCCAGTTCATGTTATTCATTGTTGCCTGAGCAAGTTGAGAAGCAACACACAAATCCCTTTTTAAATTAGCCACACACTGAAGGTAAGACTGGTGAGACGACCCATCTGCAGAGACCCCAACGCAGAGGTCCACTGGTAATCGGCCTTCACGTCCAAACATTAGGAGGTACGGAGAATAGCCAGTGGCCTCATTTTGGATACAGTTGTAAGCATGCACTCGGTGGCTCACATGCTGGCTCCATTTAGATTTCTGTTTGGTATTCAACGTTCCCAACATATTAAGTAGGGTCCTATTAAAACATTCAGTCTGAGGGTCTTATTGCGGATAAGGTGTTCTCCTGGAATTTTTATGTCCAGTGTAGTTCATAGACTCATAGACTTTAAGGTCAGAAAGGACCGTTATGATCATCCAGTCTGACCCCCTGCACAATGCAGGCCACAAAATCTCACCCACCCCTCCTAGAATAATCCTCTTGCTACAGAGGAAGGCGAAAAACCTCCAGGGCCTCTGCCAATCTACCCTGGAGGAAAATTCCTTCCCGACCCCAAATATGGCGATCAGCTAAACCCTGAGCATGTGGGCAAGACTCACCAGCCAGACACCCAGAAAGTTCTCGATAGTAACTCCTATCATCCCTCCATTGACCTATTTCCCACTGATAATAGTTAGAAGTTCCTGAATTACACAAATCTCAAAGTCCCGTCCTTGATCGGAATGCATTCACTTGGGCAACCCATAATTCACACAATACTTTTTCCAAAGGGTTTAGCAACAGTAGCAGCTGTTTGATCGTTAGTGGAGAAGGCCTGGGCATACCTTGTGAAATGATCAGTGATGACAAGCACATCCCCTGGCTGTCGGGGACTCTAACCCAGACGGCTTCAGCTCGTTGTCTGACGGCAAAGAGACAGGCAACACCAGCAAGGTCTAATCATAACGCTCTTTATTGAAGAGTGCACACGACAATAGAGAGCAGCCGGTCTCTACCAAGAACCAGCCACGATTTCAGAAACAAGTAAGATTATACAGACAGTTCCGTGACGTCATACACTATTTACCCAAGCAACCCACCCCCCTTTGTCAGTTATCTAGCCAACTATACAATGTGGCCTTAAGCAATTCATAATGCATCCACAGCTTTCTTATCATCACAGAAGGCAAGTATCAAAAAAACAGGGAGACAGGGAGTTAAGAACAGATAGAGAACAGAAACAGGGAGTTAGGACAGGGAGTTTCCCTATCACTTCTCAAAACAAGCTGTTCCTTATTACAGAGGTACAAGAATGAAGCTTTTCACTTATCTTACTTTTGCAACTAAAGCAAGTTTGTAGGGTGCACCCCCCCCTACTTGAACCATGTCTCTAGTTCTGCTCAGAGACTACGCAGAAACCTTTATTAGTCTCTTTTTGGTCTATCTTAGCACTCACCCCTATTTTTTAGGGCCTAACATGACTGTCAAGTTCAACGGTGAGAAAATCCATGCAGACCAAATCCATAGGGCCTGCACTATGAAGATGAAACAGTGGAGCAGCTCTGGTGGGTAGAGGCTTCCGTTGTATACACCGGGCGCAGTACATGGCTGCCGCTTTTTTCCGGCTCGGGGCTTTGCCGGCAAAAAGCGCCAGTCTAGCCGGGGATCTTTCGGAAAATAAAGCCTGTTCCAAAAGATCCCTTATTCCTCATTATCCACCACGAAGGACAGTGTAGATGCAATAACGCCTTCTGTCGACAGAACTCTGTTGATAAAAGGCGTTATTCCTCCTAGAATGAGGTTTACTGCCGTTGACAGAACTGCTGAGTTCTGTCGACGCTCTGTTGACCAAACTCAGTGGCAATGTAGACGCAGGTCTAGTTATGTTGACAAAAGTGGACTTTTGTCGACAAAACCCTGTAGTCTAGACACACCCTAACAGTAACTGTGAGTTTTCAGGAAGACATGACTGTAGCGGTTTGCACCTCAGGTCGTACCACAAATCCTCCAGGTGTAGACATTTCTTCTAGTGTATCCACTAATAACAACTTATCAGTAGACAGAACAGAAAACTTTGGGATGCCAGTCACTTGACAAGCACTGCAAGAACATGTGTAATTTCTTTTCTGTGTATTCCATACTTTTCCATACCTGTTAGCATCTTTAAGGCTGTGTCCAGACTCAGGGGTTTTTTCGAAAAAACGTCACCTGCGTCTAGACTGCAGCCGCGTTCTTTCGAAATTAAATCGAAAGAACGCGGCTTTTCTTTCGACGGTGGTAAACCTAATTCCACGAGGAAGAACGCCTTCTTTCGAAAGTGCTCTTTCGAAAGAAGGCGTTCTTGACAGCAAACAGGCTTTTTAGAAAGAGAGCATCCAGACTCACTGGGTGCTTTCTTTCGAAAAAGCGGCTTGCTTTTTCGAAAGTTCCACGTGAAGTCTAGATGCTCTCTTTCGAAAGAGGCTTGCAGTCTAGACATAGCCTAACAGAAATGGAGAGAGGCTTTCTGTGGAAGCCTGTATAGGCCTCACAGAATTTAAGGGGAACAGGCAAGGTACCGATTCATCCTTTCCCAAGAGTGTCTTGGCATAGTTTAAAAAAATGCTGCACTAGACTACTATTGGTGCCAACCAAGACT